TGTTAAAAAAAATTCCTAAAATTATCAAATGTCAGCTATATTAATTTTCATTTTTTGCTTCAAAAATGTATAGAAGTGTTTCAATAATTTATTAATAAAAATAAATATCTGAAATTATGTGATGTTTAATTTTCTTGAATATAGAAATATTCTGAAATCTTTGATAAATTTATTTACAAAGCATTAAACTTTTTTTTTATCGTCCTATTATTTTTTATTAATTTTTTATAAGACTTCTTACGAAAAATAAGGAATCACTTAAGTGATTGACAATTAACCTGCAAAAAACTTTTTTAAATCATGGTTTGCTAATCAACTTAAAGGTCCGAATAAATATAACTTAAAGTAACATTAATTTTTCTATGAATTTTACAGTAATTTTTTTTTTAAATATCAATCTAACTTAACAATAACTTTTTTATAGATAAAAAGTATGAAAATTAAATTAGCCGACATCTGAAAATTTTTATAATTATTTTTATTAAAAAGATTGTTACTATAAAATAAAAAGAAAAAATTTCACATGTAGGAAATTTGAAAAATTATGAATGCAATTTTTTTAAATTATTTTTTTACTTGCAATTTGATTGTTAAAAAAAATAGAAAAATTTTTAAACGTCGGCTAACATTAGTATCATATTAAAAGTTGGTTAAAACTTGAATTGAAATTGCGGCAGTAGATTAACGTCAAGTTACTATACAACTTCAACACAAATTGTATATAACTTTTACTGTACAAATTTTGGAGTGAACTTAACGTTAACTTTGACTAAACTTGCTATACTACAAGTATTTTTATAGTAAGTGTGGCTATCAGGGCAATAATAATTTTTTTCTCTTGGAAAATATTTTTCTTTGAAAGGTGATTTTGTAAAAAATGAAATAGTAAGAATTTTTTATAGGGATTACTTTAAGATAATTTTTATTTATTTATTTGACTGAGATTATTTGTATTAATTAATATTTTAAATCATAATCATTTCAAAATTGAGAGTCGGCATAGTAGATTGGAGAAGCACAACTGTTTTTACCATTGCAGTTGTTTACACTCAGTCCGTTGCTGTCTGTCTTGAATGTAATTATTGTAATTTTATAACTTATTATTGTTGACTAATTTGTTTAAATGGAATGGAAATTGACTAAGTTTTCTTAATATTATGGTTACCACTTGTTCAACTTTATTTATATATTGTAAAACGATGAAATTTTTCGGAAATCGATTTAACCTTAAATGTAAGATTTTTTAATATTTATCTTTTTGTTATCCTTGTCATATTGTTATTAACAATGTGTTTTCTTTTGTACAGTTTGCCTGATGAAGTTGTGAAATACAACGAAACGTTGCAACATTTAAAAAATTTGACACTGAGTTATTTTTTATAGTCCAAGTTCCTGATAATTTTCATTATTGTTGATATTATTGCCCGTGAAAATAATAAATTTACGTATGTACCAGTAAAACATGTATTACTTACGAATGTTGTAAACATATAGTGGTATCGATGATCGTTCATTTGCAACTGGAGTATCTGTAACAATTTATAATTTTCATACAATGCAGCGAGAGTATAATTAATTTGGATTAATTAAGGTTTATTTTTTTATTAACATTTGTTTTCTACTATTACAAAAAGTGAATATGTTATACAAGAATGAGATTGATAATTTTAGCAGCTGAAAAAAATTTTTTTCAAAAAACATTTTCTTTACTTTGCAGTTTCATTTACTGAATAATAGAAAATAACCAATCGAGTGATTTGAGATGAAAAATTTATATTTACCATTAAAATAAAGATAAAAGTGGGAAAGTAACATTCAATTGAATCTTCTACCGTTAGATATATTTTCTTTGGCTGTATTTTTACGTGAAGAAGATTTGCGAACTTGGTATCTCCTACCGGTCTCTAAATCTTCCGATATCCTTCTACCTCTACATCGCAATACTTTTCCGCTCTAAACGAACCATAGCAATAATGTGCGGTAGCACGTATGGGTTGCTAGAGAAGACATTCAACTTGTAAGCTTTTATTGGTTAGAAAAGAGCATCTTCGACGTCTCAATATTGCTACATAGACTCATATAGAGAATATAGGATATACGTTTACAAGTGCTTTAACGAGTGTTATACACAAAACTGTAAAATTCTTATATTTTGATAAATTATTGATTTTGAAGATTAAAATTCACTTTTGGATATTCTAAGAAAGTGTTACATATGAAAATTTACCTATAAAATTGTTTTACTAATTCTGAAAATCATGATTTTTAGAAAAGGTATTTAATTTTCAATCTTACAGTGTAAAGGTTACGCAGTAAATGTTGCGTTAATGCGTCACTAATATTTGCGTTAAATATCTAACACTTTTTTGTATTGATTTAAGAGAATTTACACAAAAAAATGTTAAATTTACACATAAAACCCGTACAAAAAAAATTTTGGTTCCGGATGAATTTCCGGATGAACTTCAGATTGTGAAACAAATATGAATTTCATCTGGAATTCCAGATGAATTTCATGATTAATTTGAAACAAATAGTATATGAAACTTAATTTTTTTAATTTGTAAAAAAATATTTGGAGAAAGTTATATTGGAAATTTTAGTGTAACTTACGCTGTCTCATTATTTACGATTCTTAAACTTCTATCTGGATGAATTTTTTGGAGTACAAGAACACAATATGTAAAATAATAATTCGAAATTCATTATGAAAGTCAGCTGGAATTCCAGATGAATTTCATGATGAATTTGAATCACTCTGTATATGAAACTTAATTATTTTAATTTGTGAAATAATATTCGGAGACAGTTATATTGGAATTTTTAGCTTTATTTACACTGGTTCAACATTTGCAATTCTATAACGTCTATTCGGATAAAATTTTTGGAGTAAAAGAACACAATGTGTAAAATAATAATTGAAAATT